TTTTTTGGGTTTTCAGACAGAAATTCAATGTTTGGTGGATGGTGTGAATAAATGAGGTATGCGTCGTTGGTAGTAATAAATGAGGAGAAAACAAACCCTACTTTTAAATTGAAAAAAAAAGGTTTATATTTTTATAAATATTTCATAAAATAAAGACATAAAAGTTTGGAAAAAAAAAGTATGACGGGTCGATGCGTCTTATGGTTAGACCGCCTCAACAACAGTTCGTAATGGAAAAATTAAAGATTTAGTCACTGTAATTGACACCAAATGGAGAAATAAGACGGTTGTTGTGTTGATATGGAAAAAAAAAAAAAAAAACCGACTTTTAGTTCTTCCGCCGATAAAAGCAGGTCATTTGGCTGACTGTTGAGTTGAATATATTAGTCTGCTGCCACGTGTACCCAAAAAAAAATTGAAAAAAATATCCACGTCAGTGACCGGTTATAGGAACCAAAGACCAAAAATCAAGTTTTTTTGCAGTTACATGGCGTTTAAAGTCAGCACCGAACTATCTCAATTAAGTGCAACTAAATTACGTGTCAATTACAAGATTGAATCTCCATTTTTTCCTAATACATGTAGTTTTTTTTTAAATTAATTTTCACTTTTACTTTTTTTGCAACTTACATATGTTTATTTGAAAATATCACATTTAAAATATCTTACAGATAAACATATCACATTTTAAATAATAGTATAAATTTATATTATTATTTATAATAACAATATTATATCTCGACCCGCGGCACATTAAAATTTGTGACCCAATATATTGACCAAGTTTATCTCATGTTATTTTGGAACTGAGAGCCTTTTCTTCGGCGGTGGCACATGGCTGCCTCCCAGTTTGTCAAATGACCAAAATATCCTTTTTAAATTTTGTACAAAAAGGATATTTTGATGAACATTTGAGGGTCGTTTATTTTTCTGGACGGGATTGGAAAACCAATTTTGTTACCGTATCATCTGTTCATTTTAAATGATTGAGATATGAGTCTTGCAAATTGGCACCCATGTGGCATGGGAATCCCGCAGTGTATCCTTCATTCGGTGATAAAATAAATCCCGGGGAGAGGCTGGATCTTTTATCCCGTTTTTTACAATGCCCATTTTCTATCTTGTTTTTTATCTCGTGAAGTAAACATTGGACAACTTGCTGACGTGTAAAGTAGTTGGATTATTTTTGGGTATTGTCCAAGTGAATTTTAGTCAATATTAGCTATGAATTATATGTCTAGATGATAGAAAATTGGAAAACTTGTCTGTGTTCAAACTTCAAACTTGTGAAAAATCATTTCCCTATACAAAATTTACCAAATATGTTAGAGAGAACTTCCTCCGAAATGTCCTCTCCGCTTATTTGTCCGAGAGCCAACGCAGCTTCTCGAAGATCGATTGTCCAAAAGTCGAGAGGTATCTCTTCCTCTATTGACGACTGTAACCTTTGGAAAGCTTCTTTGGTCCGAACAAGCTGCTCGCATTGCCTCTGCCCGATCAAAAAAGAATGAAAATTTGTAAAAAAATGATTTTGATGAATCTAATGGATGAGGTACAATTACCAAGTACACTTATCAAGTACAATAAGATTCGACGATTGAGGATGAATCTAATGGAGTATAGCTAACGAAGAACACAAAAAACGAAAAGAAAAAAAAAATATTGATGAAAGATTTGAGTAAACCTGGTTAACAGTCCACGAGCGGCCACCAGCAGGGATCTTATTCAATCCAACGAGCTCGATTATTGCTGAATCTAAATCCGAGATCCCTTGACCAGTCAAAGCACATGTAAAAACGTGCCTGTGGAACATTCCGGAAACATCGACGATCCATTCACGAAATGATGTGTCACAGTCAACTTTGTTGACCACAAGAACAACTGGAGAAGTTGATGAAGATGCACTCTGGAGTTGGGAAAAAACAAAAATATTAAAAGGCAAGCTAATTTTATGGATTGTACCGTATAGAAGCTGATCAAACAAATAGACAAAGTACGTGAATGTGTATGCGAAATCTATACTGAAACACACGAAGAGAGAAAGAGAGAGTAGAGATACGACAGGTGAGAATATTTTACTTTAAGGCTATGTTTGGTCCCAAATAAGCTATAAGTTTTTTTGTATTCAAATAAGCTTCGTTTTGTAGGATCAGCTTTTGTAAGAAGCTCGAACTTATCTCATAAGCATCTTTGGGTTGCTTTTCAAATAAGCTCGTTGAAATTTTTATTTCAACTAGTTTATCTGCTAATTTTACCGAACATTTTTATCATATGAGCTAGCTTTTCAGCTATAAGCTCGAAAATCACTTATAAGCTATAAGCTATCAACTATTTTTACCAAACATAGCCTAAATATAAGGTGTACTTTGTCCACAGAACAATATAATATGTGAATGATTTCGTTTTCTTCTGTAGTTGTCTATTCGTTCAAGAGGGTAACGCCATTTAAACCATTGAACAATTAGCTTATTGAACCTCCAAATATGTTGCTAGTCATTGCAAATATTTATAACCTTTAATAGTGCTGCAAAAACCAATATACCCGCAATAAATTGGTAAAAATCTTTATGCAGCTAATTTAAAGGGTTCGATAAAACCTTATTGCTTTGAATTCTCTCGAGAAGTCTCTCATCCTCTGCTGTCCACCCCTCGGCTGCACTTACAGTCATGACAATGACATCAGCACTTGTGGCCACTGCTTCAGACCTCTCAACACCTAGAAAGAGTATAATCATTTAGGAACACCGATTTATTTAGAATTCGTAAATAAAAGGCAATAAATCTTGTTATTTTTTCAAGAACCCAATAAAGAAAAAATAAATTTTTGGTCCCTCAGTTTTCTAAGTGAGATCATTTTCTTATTCTCTAAAACAGCTCTATGATTTCATTTTTTTTTTTTCTTTTAAAGAGAAGTTATATGTGTTGTACATATATTACAAACAATTTACGAAGGGCCATTTTACAGATAAGGAATCTTCAGTCAAAATTAAACCTTGGATGTTCCAAAGAGAAGATTCTAGAAGGGTTTTACCTATTTTCTCGACCAAATCATCAGTGTCCCTTATTCCTGCCGTATCAAGAAGCGTGACAGGAATTCCAGCAACACTTATATTAGCTTCTACAATATCACGGGTTGTGCCAGCAATGTTGGTAACTATTGCTCTCTCACTCTGCATTGCTAAAATGAATGTTTACCGAACATAATTAGCCATAGCAGATATAAATGAGACAAAACAAACAAGATGATATTTTTGCATCTACACTGCATTATTTTCGACTATACATCTCTAGAGGCTTACATTTTTTTTTATCCATTCACATCAATGAGAAAACAAAATGAAATCCCCAAAGTATAGCCGATTAATCACCGTCATGTTTTCTAGCTAGAACTTCTTTATATAGTAGATAGATAAACATTAAATGTAACAAATAAGCTTCTAAAAACATACTTTGCTCCAAGCATTAAGAAGGCTTGATTTCCCAACATTTGGTCGGCCAACAATTGCTATCTGGACAAATATTAGCGAGGTTGAGCCAAAATCACTTTTTATCACTAAAAGATAACTGAGAAGAAATAAGAAAAGACGAGCAATACAGTGAATAAGGGTGTGTTTGGATACAAATAAACTCAACCGATACTCAATTCATACTCAAAATCTAACTCAACTTTAACTCAACCCCACTATCCTAAATATTATCAATATAATTAAATAATATCAATCGATCACATTAAACTTAATTCACCATTCATTCACTCACAAAATTTTAACAAACAATCATATCACATCATCTCTCACCTACTTTTACATCGAATCAACTTTAACTATTTTATTTTAAATACTATTTTTAATATAAACTCAAAATCCCACTAACAATTAACCATACTATTTTTTTTTCTAAATTAACCTGGAAAAAAAAAAAAACCACCGTTTTGAGCGGACATATATTTATACAAGCCCGCCCTAATAAATCATAATTTTTAGTTTGCCAATATCTGAAATCAACTAGCCCACATTATATTTTCCTAGCAACACTTCTATTATTCATGTAAGCGTGAGATTGGTTTAAAATACAAGCTTGATAAAGTACCTGTACACCAGATTTCAAAAGCTTGTCATAATTAGCAGTTTCCAAAGCATCATCTACTTCTAGCAACATCTTTTGAATCTTATCAGTGAGCAGTTTGAGGTCGAGGGGTGGCATCTCATCATCAAAATCTAAACGAGCTTCAATCTCTGTAAGTAACTCAATGCACTGAGCTCTTAATGATTTCACCAAAGAAGAAAAGCCTCCCTGTCAATGGACAAGCAATTTGGCTTGACCTGAATAAACACTTTTGGACACTAATAGAATGTTAAATTAATTCAAAGTCACCTGTATTCCTGCTAATGCAGCATCTGCAGCTGAAAATGACTTGGCCGATATAAGTTTTTCCACGTTCTCAGCTTGTGATAGATCTAATCGCCCATTTAAAAAGGCACGGAGAGTGAATTCACCTGTAAAGTTAAGCATACATTAATATTAAGCTTTCACTAGTACTATTTCATTTCTTCATTCCATCTATGTAATGTACTGCATTCCAACCAAAATTGACACGCCAAGCAACTCAAAGAAAATGAGAAATTCAAAATTTGAAGTAGCAAAATTTAAGATGACGAAAGAAAATGACCTGGCTCGGCTAGCCTCGCCCCAGCATCTAGGCAAGCCCTTAAGACACGATGCAAGCACACTTCAGAGCCATGACACTGAAGCTCAACTACATCCTCACGAGTATAAGATTTCGGGCCCAACATTGGAACCACTAAAACCTAGTGAATAATTAAGACAGCCACCATGATTAGCAAGATTAAATTGCATGAAATAACAACTTTTTATTACTACGATTATCTCATCTCATTTCATATTGTACAATTGAGTGAAGTAGTTTCACAAATTTGAAGTTATGGGCTTGATTGAAGAAAGAAAAATAAAGAAAGAGAGGGAAAGGGCATGCAAAGCAAAACAAACCAAAAAAATTCTAACTAAGAGGGATTCTTAATCTGTTAACTGGGGAATTAAAAAAAAAAAAAAAAAAAAAATGAAATTTCCTCTTCTTTTCAGCCGACAGTCTACAACCATTTCCCAACATCATACAACATAATGGTACTATTATATAGACAATAAGTAGAAGACATAAATCACCCAAGATATTCATATTTCGATAAAAAATATTCGATTTCTTAATCAAACAGGAAACAAAAAGATACTGGACAAAATCACAATACCTCATCAATGACATTGCCGTTTGAATCTATAACCACACCATACTCAACAACATGGCTATTAGGCGACCAATTAGAGCCTTTTCTCCTTTTTCCTGAAATGGGTCGAAAAACCTGCCCAGCAATAGAAATGGCCGAAGGACCAGATAACCGCACAATCCCCACGGCACCTGGCGGCCCACCTAATGAAGTCACAATAGCTGCAATTGTACTCGAGCACAAAATTTGCTCTGCACAGTTTAGCTCTCCATTCCCCAACCTCTCATCTTTCTTGAGAATCAAGGTGTTCTCTGATTAGACAAAGTTAAAAATCCTCAGTACCCTCGAACATGATTGCAAAAAAAAAAATCCATGTGCATTGGTCCAGAAATCTATAAGGTAAGGCCTTTATACTAACTTCTATCGTCGAGAAACTCGGCTTTTATCTAAAAAAGACATAAATGATTGAGCAAGAAAACTAAATACTATCAGCCCTCATACATAACTTGGCAGCTCTTCGAGTCTTTTCTTCTCAATAAAATGTCAGATGCTACATAAAGATTGAATCTTTTTTGTTCCCGACAACTGAATATACATATAAAATGACGAATTACATGTGTTGGATAAGCATACGGACTGAAAGGGAGGTATAAACTTGCCTTTGGCAGCTCCAAACGTGGCCAGAGGTCGAGGATTAGAAGCAGGCTTGTGGAAGGTCGAAAACGGGTGGGTTAGTTTTCTGTGAAGTGGGTTTGAGAATCTGAGGAAGATTGAATGTCGAAGGATCGGAAAACTGCGGCGCTGCAAGTGACAAAGCAGGTGGCGGAGAGCCAGCGGCCCCGCCATTGTTGCCGCTGTCTGCAATTCCAAGGTTTTTTGAGGGTACGGTCTGGTTTTAGCTTATCGCAAAATAATTGAACTTGTATTTAAATAGAATAATTCACAATTTTCGACATAAATTACGATTAGCTTTTGAAAAAAAATTTCTCATGCTTTCAATTTATCAATAATGCTAAAAGCCAACAATTAGCTCGTTACGGAGCCAACAACCAATGAGACAACTCCATGTGGGATTGTCCCACAATACTTTAATGTGGAACAACCCCACATGGAGCTGTCCATTTGATCGTTGGCTCCTTAGCATTACTGTTCAATTTATTTTGTTCTATTAATATCTTATGGTGAAACAAATTAACTAGTCATGGAAATGTCACGATCGTTATGGAACTATTTCGTCCCAGTTCAACAAATTATATGAAACTAAGAAATTTCTAGTTCTAGACTTGTCGACTGAACCCGACAAAATGATGAGAATTTTGGGCTCATATACAGTCTTAAAATGTGGGCTTCTTCGGCCTAACATATTAACTTGTGGGCCAAAATGGGCTGACGTAGAGTGTCATAGGTTCTTGAAATAAGCTGGGCCTAGGTATGTTGAAATAGTAACTAAGTGAATTTAAAGACTGAACCAAGGTTTTCTCACAGAGTTTCGTGAAGGGATCACACATCGTGTTCATTTTTTCCTAAGCAACACAGCTCCAATCGACTAAACATATTCGAAGAATATTGTCTTCAGTCTGAACTTCATATTTTCATATTATTTGGTCATAAATACTATAGTAGTTCCAAATTTAACCTTTTTTTTGTTCATGACTTTGTGTCGTTTTTCGAGTCGTGCAGCATCATGCCGTGCTTATCGCGTCATTTATATCTATAATCGTGTTTTTCAATCGTATAGTGCCATATTCGTGTTTCGTTTGGTGCCATCCATCTGTCAGTCCTCCATGATAATTGAGGTTTCTTTATCATTTGACTCAAAGTTGATCTACCAAAAGCTTACATAAGATAATAACATAAACATATGTTAATTATTATATGATTACATGAAAGGAGCATCAATGCAAGAGGATACAATATAGCAAATATTAATATCAATTACAAATACATACATCTATGTCAATCATAATTTTATCTCTACATAATGGAGCATGCATGAGGATTTTCATCACTGAACATGAGGGAATATTTTTCTTCGACCGGGTCTAGAGTCGCCACTCCCGGCTCGTAAGTCCGCCTCACAAGATTAGGAGGCGCTTTCTTGTCGTAAACTCCCATCGCATAAGGGTGGGCCATTAGCTCGACCGGGACATATGGCCACAGCTCCACTTTCTTCTTCGTCTTCTTTGCCGCCTTTAGCACTTTCTTAGAATCCACAAATCCGGTGACTGCCGCCTTATGTTTTTTCCAGTCCACCTCCACTGATCTCGCCCCTACGCTTGTAATTAAGCGAAAAAATCCATAAATTTCAAGAAAATTGTACGAAACCAGTTGTTAACACAATTTGTTGGTCTCTGTCAAGATAGATAAACAATCTAACTTTTATTAAACTCCACCAACATGCCAATATAATTAAGAAAAAAAATGTTGGTTTAACAACATAGCAATTTCAGTCCAAAGGTTTCAAATTTTCAACCTTTTGAAGATTGAAATTGCAACAAAATTTAAATGACAAGACTTAAATTGCTAATCGAAAATCTGATAATTTGGAAATTCGTTTCAATTTCAGTCCTCAATGACCAAAATTGCAGCAAAATATTAAATCACATAACCAAAAGGCGAAATGTTGAAACTTTGGGATGAAAATTGCTATGGTGTTAAACTAATAGGACTAAAAAATGCAGTTTTGCCTTTGCAAGGGTTTTGAATAGTTGTTACCAAAATAAGTGCATGACATGTTAAATGGGCTTTTTATTAGAAATTTGTCAAGTTAGTGTATTCAGCTTGATGAACAACAAAAGTGAAATATTGCGTGGTAGTATTGGCATAATCGACAAAATACAACTATCCGTGCATGGACTTATCGCGGGCGAACTCAAGAAACTACAAATAAATGTTGTGTGCATATCGAAGATTAGTTTACATAAAATATTCAAACCTTTGATGGAGGAGAGTACGTTCTTGACTTTATGTCCACAGCCTTCACAATCCATCCTGATTTTGAGGGTTACTGTGTTGATTTGCCTCCTCTTCTTCCTCTTCGCTGTGATAAACAAATCGGTCAAGAAATCGAGAGTCCCTTCGATTCCCATCTTTCCTTACTCTCTTAACTATGCGATTCTTATTTTGCCACAAACAATGAGTTGAATTTGAAGTAGGTGTAGAGGCTTTTAGTAAATAAAATCTTGTAAGGTAGATGAGTTTGTGCTGAAAGGAATAGAGTTGTGAGTTATGGCTTTATATATATGTTAAGGCAGAGAATTTCAGCTTTGTAATTTCTTGTATAGATGTCGTTGCATATTTTGCTTTGTGGTGGGTCTCAAGGGCATGCATGTTGTGAAATATCTTTTTTGACCTCTAGATTCTATTCTTGAAAATTACTTTTATTTTATATTTCAATATTACTTTTGAAATGTCATCAAATATTAAAAAGACAGTCTCAAATAATTTAAATACCTCAAGATTTTCTTAAAACTTTTTAAAATTTCAAATGAATATCTCGAGCCTCTTAAAATTTAAATATCTAAGAATATCTTAGAACTTTTTAAAATTTCAAATGAATATCTTGAGCCTGTTAAAAATCGTGAAAAAGTCTAAATTAAATACAATCATGATTTTTAAAATTTAAAAGTTTTTAGAAATACCAAATAGTGATTTATAGTCCCTCTTAGTCTTATATTGTCAAAGAATAATTTCTTCACCAAGATATCTAAAATTTTATTTCCTTACCCTCGAAGTTTCATTTCTCACATTTCACCATCAAATATAAAATAAATTGTTGTTTATAAATTGTTGAGGGGTGCATGGAATCAGAAGACCAAAGGACAAAAAACTTGGTCACAAAGTTATACGTTCCTTACTTCCTCTGCTAAATTTACATATATGAATGTGTGTATATTCCTAAAGCATATTGTAAAAAATAAATTAATAAAAAAATAAATAAATAAATATATATATTATTTACCCTTGCTCTAGAATATTAGCACAAATTCGTTTTGTGAAGTTAGACAAATTGATTCGTCATACTTCTTTAATAAAAATGCAAACTTATACTATGAAATTGATGATTTGTCATACTTCTTTCATTATATACAAACTTATACAATCAAATGCCGTACTCTTATTTATGTTAATTTTTAGAGTATGAAATTTCAGTTCGAAAATAAGCATAGACGAGACCTTTCTGAAATATTAGATATAGGAATCAAATTCCATTCTTTTTTTCTAAAAAGAGAAAAAGCAGCCTCACCTTGAAAAGTGCCATGCCTCTGAATCAAAATCATTGATCCTTTCTTTCTAACTTTTTATCCATAATAATTCGATCCTGCAAGATTAGCAGATGTGCAACTCAATCCACTTATTAAATTAAAAAAAAAAAAAAATACATTCCAGTTTATCTAACACCTCATCCATTAAGGTATATGCTCAGTACTAGCCGATGTAAAGCGCGGTTAAACTAAGGTTTCGAACTAGAAACCGATACTATTAATAGATACACCCACTGTTAAAAAAACAACCATCCTTTCAAAATAAGTCAGGCCAAGCATGAACAGTCCAAAGTAGTAAAGACAAACAAGTTACAGCACGATACCGATAAGATCCGAGAAGTGGAGAAGCTCTAGAAGATTCTCGAGTTGCTCTATGGGCAACAGCTGGTGGAACATTTCGCGTTTCGTTTTTTAGCAAAGGGTTTGGTGATGTGTCGTCACCTGGAGGTTCGTCACTGTTATCGATAATGTCTTGACCTGGACCAGCAACGAGGGAAGCAAGAAGATAAAGTTAGAAATATGTCGCAATGAAAGTTGAGAAGGGAATATAAAGGGGCAATAATTTGAGAGGCGAACAGGAGGCTAAGTGGCTTAAAAAGCAGCGATAACATCATAACCTTGAACTCTGATAAAAAATGAACAAACGATAAAATCTTAAATCCTAGGTTGATGATGATCAAGTTTAGAGATTATTCTTTCAAGTACATACTAAAAACTAACATCTTCGAATAAACAATTAGCTTCGTTCATCAAAATCCAGACGAGCCCTTCGTTCATCAAATAATTAGCTTCAATTTACCATATGTGTGTTTTTAACATATATTGAATGAAAAATTGAATACCCACCTGATCATCAGCAATGTGGAACATGCGATTTTCAATTAAAAAGCTCTGATTCTTGGAGAACACAGCTTTTATGGAGGGAAAGTTCTGTTCCTCGAGTGAACTGTATCAGAAAAAATGCTGAAAGTCAGCCAATAAAGCCAAAAAAAAAAAAAAAAAAAAAAAAAAAATCCAACTAAAAAACTAATCAAGAGGTGACCTTTTACTTAGCCTTATGACAGTTTCAAATCCTTGAGTAGTGATCCTACTAGCATTAGCTTGTTTGTGGAACTGAACATATATAAAATATTATTAGAATCATCACAAGAAATTCGAACTAAATAATGAGAAGTCAAATCATAGTCTTCGATTGATTGGCCGTTCTTCAATTCATTTCCATCTTTAGAGAGAATTATGTGATCTTTTGAAAAATATAAGAAAAAATTTTGATCACATTGTATCGGTTATGAGAAGAAAACATGATGACCATGGTTGATGTGGTTAGTTTAGTAGAACAGTGGTTAAATTGGTTAATGATTGAAAATGTAAGAGTAGGTGTATAGTTGACAATATATTTTTGAAATATACATAATAGTTGATCAATATACATAAAAATTTAAACATAAAATAAAAATAAAAATAAAAAACACACATACCCTATAACTATGGGAGCCAGAACAGGACTCTGTGGTTTATTTCCTCCATCTGAGAATAAGTGCAACTGATCCTCGAAAAGAAATCCAGAGCTTGAAGTGTTGTCAGACAAATAATTTACAGTATAAGGGCAATGCCCGTTTGGTGCTTCACACGTAGGCCCCATTTTCGCAAAATTCATGGCTGCAAAGTATGGGCTTGCTGCTGTTCGATTGGGATGGACTATACTTCCCAAGCTTTTTATCCTGTATAATAGATGCCCCGATTGCAAGGGCCGGAGCACCTGCCAAATCAATCACTCAAGTATTAACTGCTACTAAACCTGCTGTAAGTAAATCTAGTCATAGTGCATAGCTCAAAGAACTGACATCTGATGATTGTTTGGTAAGGAACTCATCACTTAAGTATTTTATGTTACACATAGTAAATGAAAGAACATAAAAGATATCATCATTATAAAATATTGCTAGTTCATAGGTTTGACAAGCCTATACAAGAAAGGACATTATGTGCCACTTGATATTCCATTTAGAATGGAAATCTTCCTCATTAAACTTCAATTTAAGAGTACAATCAAATACAACATCTTAGCTTTTGAAATGTAATGCAATCACATAGAACCTAAAAGCTTGATTGGATATAAGTTTTCGAAGAAAAAAAAAATCGAATCATTTTTTTTAACTCAAATCTAACTCAACTTTAACCCAACCTCACTATCCTCAATATTATATTAAATAGTGATAATTAATCATTCTTACACATTACATCCTTTAAATCACTATTCATCCACTCACATAACTTTAACTAACTATCACTTCGCATCATCTCTCTCCTACCAAAATAACTTTAATTATTTATTTTAAATGATGTTTTAATATAAACTCAAAATTCCACTAACAACTAACAATACCACCTTTTACAAAATTAACCAAACAAAAAAAAAAAAAGTCTTATATCCAAGCATCCCCTAATGTCTTCGACACGAAAGCTCAGTGATTATATGAGAAAACCTAAAGAGTTGATTTTGGCAACTGATAGCGTACCAACATTTGGTAGTAACTCAATGAGAATCGGACACACTTTCTACAATCACAAGGAACCCAAAACATATCACCTCCAGTACCTAAAGCTACAAGGAAAGATTTATTAGGAGTCCCAATATCCATCCATGTATAATGCAACTTGGAAACCAAATCTTATGCAGACCATAAGCATTGCACTTTGCAAACGATTTAGGGGTATTCTGAAGGATCAATATAACACGGCAATCAATCAATTTCCCGATTCAATGTGCATTTCAGATTTCATACATTCTGAAAACAAACAAGACACAAAACAAGAATGTAATGTCACACTTAATCAACCAAGATGGGGTATTATGACAACTTTGTTTGTTTTCTTAGGGACGACACTCGACATTGATTTTCTTCATCCCTATATGAGAAATGCAGTAAATAAATTTAACAAAGTTCAATACTTCATAAATGACAAAATCATCAATATTTAGCCGATTGGATGTTAAGACAGTGGAAGTTACTGCAGATAACAACAATCTGTTAAACAATTCACAAATTAATTTACATTTGGTTATGTTAGCATTAGTAGATAAGGAACTACTCGAACACTATACGGAATATGAAATTACTCTCGGAAATCAAATAAAAAAATTGGGATTCTAGATTACCACACGCACAGCAATGAATTTGATCAGCTATAATCTCCATCAAACAGACTTAAACACAATCATATAACAAAAAAGAACAGAAAAAAAAAAAGAAAGAAAGAAAACCATCCCCATTTCAACCCACAACTAGATATAGAACACATAGCATCATACTATTTGTACACTAAATAATTGCACGCACATTGATTAAGCAATTTCAAAAATAATTAGGTGAAAAAAGAAAAGAAACATAACACAAAAATGGGGAAAAATAACAAAAGCTAGATAGCAAAACACACCGACCCAAGACATTGCCATAGTTGAAGCTCCGGCGGCCTCCAGAACCGAAGAAAGGCTCATTCTGAGCTGCAAGCATCAGTCTTTGCCGCTTCAAGTCGTGGCCCAAAAGAGCCCTCATGTGCCCAAAAGTTTTGTTCTCAGGCCGCGACGTCGTTTCGTTGCTTCTCGCGACTTTGGGTTCCCTCAAATTCCGGGGCTTCGCCGCATAATAAGCGTCAACGGCGACGAACAGCTCTATTAAGCCACCAAGGCCATTGGTGTTTCCCATGGATTATCTTCGCAAACATGAGAGTTTCAGAAAATGGAGACCTATTTTATTTGTTCACTTAAGTAAATACTAACGGTGACGCCTTTAATAATTTACTAAAATAATGTTTAACATTAAATATTTTTTGGGTAAATAATGTTTTTCAAATTTGTACGTGATTTTGGGATTTTTAATCTAAAGTATTTTTTTTTTTAAATGCAACATGAACTACATATATAAATTATTTGCATGCTTGACTACTTTTTGACTGTCCAATCCTCTGCAAAGAAAAAAAGGTACGTGCATAGTCAAGATGTAGTTGAGCGTGGAAATAGTGGTTGTATATATAGTTTATGCTGTATTTTATTTTTACAACAAAAAATAGTTTAGTTGAAAATCGCACAAGCATATAGTAGACCATATTTTTTTTTTTTTTTTGGTACAGGGACCTTCTGGTTTCTGGATCCACAGGGGAACCGACTAATCCAGAATCGAGCCGGTATAACATATTTTTTATCCTATATTTTACCCCCTTTAAAATCATGGGATAATTGCACCAAACCCCCCTGTGTTTTCATAAATGTGCGCGTTTTACCCCTATGTTTTCAAAACTGCACCATACCCCCTTAGGTTTTAATTCCGTTTGCGCGAATTCCCCCCGACCGTTTGAGTTAACGCGTGTGTATGAAACGCGTTGAATGAGCAAGTGTACTTATAGTTTTTGACCGTTATTGTGTCTAAAAGACATTTTTACCCTTAGTAAGCCTCTTTAAATAGCGCGCCTCTCATTTGTTCTTCTTCCCCCTAAATTCGAGCACCTGGGAGCAAAAATATCACAGAAAGGTATGCAATTTTTTTTTTCCACAGCTTTTTTCCACAGCTTTTTTTTCACAGCTTTTTTTTTCAGCTTTGAAATTCAAAGCTTTCCAGCCTTCAATTCTTCCTGTATGTTTACCTTTTTTCCCAGATTCAAAGACAAGTAAAGATTGAAAGCTTGGATTTCAAATTTGTAAGTTGAAAATGTCCCAAAAATCGAAGATGGAGAAGATTGACAACTTGGACTTACGATACCGATATCTAAAGTGTTACTGCAATGTGTATGCACAAATCAGGGTAGTTGGTCCTACAAAAAGAACGGTTGGAAAGCTATTTTGCAATTGTCCAAACAACAAATGTAGCTTTTTTGCTTGGTTTAAACCTACGACAGTGAATTGGGTGAAGCCGTGTGCACATGAAAATGAAGATTATGATGAAGATGATGATGAAGTTGTATCAACTGCAGCAGATTTAGCAAATGAACCAATTTCTGAAGTCACTTCCATGCTGAAA